ATTTTATATCAGTGGTCTGCATATATTTTCTGCCTCCTGATATTCGTACTCAACATTTTGTGAGATTCATTCAAACTGAAACTAGTAGCCCCGGGCAAGTTCATTTCCCTCACGCTATAATTAACAATCCAGTCTATTGTTGTGCATTTGGGTAGCCATTCCTCCTTCTCCTTTTTTGGCTATTTCAATCAATGCAGCTATAAACACTCTTGCGTCTGCCTTCTGCACACAGGGGAGAAGATTTCTCCTACTTGGGAGGGCAAGGGCTGGAGGGCAGGAAACGCCCATGTCCTTAGACATGGCCAACTCTAGTTCCTGAAGTTCTTTTTTATTTTTTGCCTACATGGTATCTCATAAAAATACCATACATTCATGTACTTCATAGTAGTCCATAAAGATGATGTACACTGATTCATTTATCTGTTCCCTACTGCATATACTGGATTTCTCTGGGGGGCTTAAACAATATGAAATGTCACCTCTCTCTTGTCAGATGACCACAGCGGTAGGGCACGGGAGGGCTGGGAGGCCCTCTGCAGTACTGGGACTCAGTGGCCCCTTCCCATGGAGCTGCAGGGAAGTTTATCCTCAGTGGATGGTGGAACAGGGATTAGGAACCTCTAGTCCTCAGTGGAGGCTCAGCAGAGGCAGGCAAAGGGCTCAGGCCCCCAGCTCACATCACCCGCCAGAGCCTGGGAACTGAGTCCCAGCGGTAGGCCACAACAGAGAGGCCAGGAGGAAACATGCTCCCTTTGTTTGCACCTGTAAAAACCTCAGTATCAGCTCCTGGGCTGCATTGTCCTGGAAAAGGGGAAACGGATGGCAACTTAATAGGAACCTGAGAGCATTGTTGGGGACTGAGCAGGGAGTGTCCTCTGGGAGCTGGGAGAGAAGTTTCAGCCAAGAATCACAGCCGCTTAGAGAAGGTGCTTTCCCCCCCACTTCCTCCCTCCCCACCGTGGCCCTAGGAGCTTGGAGCTGGAGAAGAATGCGCAGGGGCCTCCACTGTCAGCCTGCCCAAACTCCCCAGGGGCTGTGCCCAAGCACCTTTGGTGTGTGTGTGTGTGTGTGTGTGTGTGTGTGTGTGTGTGTGCGCGTGCGCACGCTGGGGGAAGGAGGGTTGGGATGGTGGAGTAGCTGGGATGGTGAAACACAGGTTAACCAGAGGGGCCTAGCCCATGAGGCATAAGTCTAGGCCTTGGGAATAACTCTCATGTGCTTGTTTGTCTTCCTTTTTTTTTTCTTTTCTGTGTCATGAACCTCAAAAGCTCTTGCCTCAATAGCTACAGATGCTGGGTCTTGCTTTCCTCAGGAGTGGTGGGGAACACGGTCCCCAACTCAGAAATACAAGCTGTGCCAGCAGCCAGCCACGTGGCGTTGGGAAAGTCCCGCCACCTCTCTGGGATTCTTACTGCTGAGGAGATGCCCAGGGTCCCCCTCCACGACAGAGCCATTGGGGGCCTACTCTGCAGCGCGGGTTACAGGCTGCTGTCGGGTGTCAGGAACTGAAAAATGAGCCCCTCCCGGTCTTACTCCAGTTCTGCCTCAGCTCTATGGTGCCTGATCTCTCCTGCACAGAAATGGAGAATCAGAGTTGAAGTTCTCTTGGGAACAAGAAAAACTGAGGCTTCGTGGCTCTGAGGTCTGCTTAGTGACAGCTGCTTCTTTTGAGTTAGCCTAGTCCCAGATGTTATCCTGAAACACTGAGTGACAAAGTGACCACGTCTGCCCAGCCAGAGCCATGGCCTCAAATCCTTGAGCCTAAGACACAAGCTCTCACACAGGGTTAATACCCTAGGTACCTCTTCAATGTCACTTGTCCCCAGAGTCCTCCTGGTGTCCCATCCTCTTCCTTCCTACTCCCACTGGGTATTTCTTCCTGGGTAACCAGTTGGTTCCCATGGCCACTTCAAGGCCAGGGCTTCCCCAGCCCATATCTCTGATCTGCTGCTCCCCCAGACATTGTGTGGGAAAGGGCTGCTGGGGGTCTTCACCCTGGCGTCCCTGACATCCACTGACCAGGTCTACACTGCAGCCCTCATCCTCACCCAGACTCTCACAGGTACCACTCCGGGAGGCCTCCTGGACACATTCTGCCCACATTCCCCCCAGGTAACGAGCCCGCCCATTGGCTTCCCTTGTCCCTCCTGTCCATGGTTCCTCAAAGCACTGCCTCTTTTTCCAAGCCGAGTCCCCTGTGGTTCTGTTCATGTTACAATAAAGCCCCAGCCCTTCCTGGTGGCATGGGAGGCCCTTCCTGACCAGCCCACTGGCTGCTTTCCAGCCTCTCCTGCCTGCCCCCCTCTGTGCCCCCCTCCAGCCATCTTGGGCTGCTTGCAGCTCCTTCAGTGGCTTGTGGTCCCGAGGCTCCTGCTCCCATCAGCCTCCTCTCTCCCTGGTGCCAACCTGAGCGCCTTCCCTGTCTGCCTGATGCCATGCACTTGTCAGGACTAAAGCAGCATCGCTTTTCCTCCAGGCTGCCTAGTGGCTCTCATCTAGGTGGCTCCATGGCACGCTGCAGTGCCCTCAATCACAGCACTGATGACATTGTTTTAGGTGCATCTCCAAAGTGCAATGTCTGCACAGAGCCTGGCTTTCAAGATGTGGGWTAAATAGACATAAGCTATACATTAAAAATGAAAAGAAAGTTTCTCAAAGTTTTCTTGGGGGCTAGGGTTGGGACTATCAGGGTTTTAACATATTCCACTGTATTTATGAGACTTGCAGAAGGGACAAATTTCCAATGACTTCCATGGGTTTCAACAAATCCTCATAACTATCTGGTTTCTTCGATTTCTTTTGACTGCTTGTCACCAGCATCCCCACTTTGCTATGAAGAGTGGGCCACCTGGAACTGACACCTGGTGAAACCTGGGTGTCATTACCAAATTTAGGGAAAAAAAGGAGGAGAATCACATGTTAGCTGCCTAAATGCTGAGGACCAAAGTGGATGGTTCCCCTGAGTCTTTTTGTCTGGGCCTTCCACAGAAGCTTCGTGCAAAATTTAAGATCATGGTGGAGCACAGCTGAGAATCTGGCATTTGCAGTGGGCAGTGGGGGTGACAATGACGTGAGAGTCCATATTTCATGTTCTGTTCCTGGAGAATTCACTGCAGAGACAGCCTGCCCCCCACCCCTGCAAGTTCTTAACATTTTTGATGCCAACAAATTAATGAAATTTTAAATCCTGACCAAAATGATAACCCCAAGAGGGATAAAAATGTTTTTTGGCATAGGATAAAACTTTCCTACGTGAGAGCTCAAATATTTGCCTTATACGACATGTTTTGTCTCAGGGGTATAAAGTTTCTCCTCTAATCTCTAGAATTATTTCTATTATTTCCAAAATTTCAAAAATTGTTTTAAAAAATCATGGTTTTATCTAAAGTGACCCAACATAGTCAGCTCTGTAAGCAGAAGGACAGTGGAAAGAAGAGGGGTTTATATCCAGAGATGAGAAGGTTATTATATTTAAATGCCAGCATATGACATGAATTAAGAGTTTAAAAAAATCTCAAGAGCTATATATAACACCTTAAAAATACTCTAATGATTTTTTTTGAAATTTGAAGCAAAGTGAAGTTATTTACTGAGTTGTTCATGGTAATTAAGAAGCAGTTTATCTGTTGTAAGCTATATTTATATATTTTTCCAATGAAGAAAGCATGAGAATTATGAAATTCAAATGATTAACATCGTATATAGATTTAAAAGCAAATCTGAATAGAAATTATTTCTGTCCTTGGATGAYGATTTTTTACTTTAAAATTGGTTATTGTACTACTGAAGGAATCCACCTATATAAAATCAAAGTTGGAACAAGTTAYAGTTTTAATCTGAAAAGTTTCTTAATTTTTAAAAAGCAAAGTCACACTGTGTTCCATTATGGTGTTAATAAATTGCTTTTTAAAAAGAATTACATTTAGAAAAATGTGCCTGTCCACACCTTTTAAGAAGCACAGCTATTAGAATAGCAAATGATTTTTGAATTACTATTTAGGACACATTAGCAGATTGTGTTCGAAGCTTGACAACACTMGGATGGAGGACCATTCAATTTTAGATTCGCAGCTCACAGTCTCCCATAAATGTGTCAACTAGAAATTGCTGAGACATCCTTTCCCTACTAGTAGGAAGAAAATCTGGGCTGGACCTTCTGGGCTCCAGAGGGGCAGTGCAGGATGTGGACCTCTAGGTTCCTGGATTCAACTCTTCCTATGGCCACTTCTTAGCTGAGAGATTGTAAGCCAGTTACTCGGTTTTTCTATGTCCCAATTTCTTCATCAGCAACTGGGGACTAATGTTCCCTTCTTTTTAAGTTTGTAGAGTGATTAAATCAATTGATACGAAGTGTTTATGATTGCACTTAGTAGATCCTCAAGAGATAGAAGCAATTACTATTGTTGATTTGTAAATCTCTTTCCAAGGAATTTGTATGAATCAAGGGTTATTTTGTTGTTTGATATCTTCTTAGTACATCCAGACTCTTCTGTAGAGCAAACACTTATTTTTGTATTTAGATAAAATATTTTTCTCTCCGTGTCCTAGCATTAAAAGTTCAAAAACAAAATAAAAAAGACAAAGGGGTGGGGGTGGGGGGAACTGGCAAGGGTTCAAGTTTTGAGAATTGTTTTAAAGAAGTCATTGTATTCAGGTGGCCTGGCAGGCTACTGTAAACACCAGGAGATGTGAGTAGGAAGTCAGAGCCCATTGTGGCTCCATCAAGTGGATGTCTTTTCAACTAAACAGATGGCTATCAGGCTACCAGGGCTGACTCCCGTTCCTTTCTGCCTGGTCATTTCCTTTGCCGAGTGTCTGCAAGAACCACCCATTGGTTCTCAGGATTATAGGTTTTTAGGTCAAACAGAAACCCTGGGGAATGCCTGAAAGAGCCAAATGAGCAGTTGCGTGCTGCGCAGGCCGGGTGACGCGGAGCCACTGATGTAGTGTGTAGCGGAGGCTCCTAAGTCCACAACCATGTGACATTCCCTCCCTGTGCATCCACGGGCAGCCGAGCGTGTGCTCTCTGCCTGGGGGCCGAGTTCTGAAGGAACTGTTGGAGCTGAAGGTTTTGTGGTGGGCAAAGGCTCTGTGTGAGACCCCAGGGTGGCCTCACCGGCTCCTTCAATGACCTCAGAAGTCTGAGCAGCGGCCTGCACGCTTGCTTTGCTTCGCTCCACCATGGATGAGACCCAGGAGCCGCTGGCCATGACCGTACACCTCCTGGCTGACTCTGGGCATGGCTCGCTTCTGCAGCAGGCTCTGGACCAGCTCCTGGATGGCATCTGCCCAGGGATGCGCCTCTTCCTGGTGTCAGAGCGCGTCCGACCAGTGAAATACTATGAGAGGTACCCCTCGAGGCGGTCCCGGTTCCCGGGGATGTCGGTGCTGCTCTTCCTGCATGAAAGCCGTGGAGAGGAGCGGCTGCTCCGCGTTCTGGACTCCCTGCAGCGTCCACCCTGGCACTGCTACCCTACGCAGGATGTGCAGGGGAGACTTCGTCCCTACCTTCTTGCAAATCAGGAGTTCTACAGCTTGGACAACCAGATGCCTGTCTGGGGCGTCAGGCAGGTGCACTGTGGCACCGAGATCCTGAGGGTGACGCTGTACTGCAGTTTTGACAACTACGAGGATGCCATCAGACTCTATGAGATGATCCTGCAGAGAGAGGCCACTTTACAAAAGAGCCACTTCTGCTTCTTTGTGCTCTACACCACTGACAACTTGGYTCTGCAGCTCTCCCTGAAGCAGCTGCCCCTGGGAACTTCAGTGGACCCCAAAGAGTCTTGCGTGCTGCAGTTCAAGGTTCAAGAGATCGGCCAGCTGGTGCCTCTTCTACCCAACCCCTGTGTTCCCATCAGCAGCACCAGGTGGCAGACGCAGGACTATGATGGTAACAAGATTCTGCTGCAGGTATTTCTCCTCTTCCTTTGTGGTCTTGTACATGACATGGAACTGGGTAGTTTCACATCTCAGCAGGTATGAGTGTTGATTTAGTCTGATGGTTCTCAACCTTGGTTGCATATTAGAAGCCCTTGGGAGTTTTCAAAAAATTCCCAGACACTCTAGACCAGTTAGACCAGAATCTCTGGGTGCTCAGGGACTTTTTTTTTTTTTTTTTAAACAAAGCTCTTTAGACAATTCTAATATGCACTGATCTAATTAAGTATGCTCATGTGACAGGTAAGAAAGTCAGACTTGATGAGAAATTTGCAATACTATTGACTTAATTTTTAAGTATCTTAAATCACTGTCAAATTTTACTACAAATCAAGTTAGATGGTTAGGATCTCTTCAAATCTTAAAATTAAAACCTCCTTTCCTAACCATCCTATTGAAACCAAACACAGCTAGTGTATATCACTGTTGTCTCTTAAGTGTTCAATGTGGCAGCTGAGCTTTGCCACTTAGTAGCTATGTGACCTTGGGTCTCAGTTTCTTAATTACCTCAGTGAAGGATATTGCCATCCGCCTGCAACAAAGGTTCTCATCTGCACAGAATGCCCCAATACTTACCAACCACATCCTTAAGATAGTGCTCAAAACTTTATTTTATCTATTGTTGTTTCTATGTTGCCCTAAAGTTTTTAAATTGATAATTTTTAATACTCATAACCATCTAGGAAGTTGCTTTTTTCCCATTTTGCAGATTGAAAAACTGAGTTCAGTTACTTTCCCATGATAAAGCTTAGTAAGTGTCTATCAGACTTCAAAGTCCATGTGGTTAACTGCTGTATCTCAGAGCTCTGAGTGTGTACGGGTGTGTAAGTGTGCAGGCACAGGGACCTATGCGATGGTTAGAACAAAATATTCCATGGCATCTGTCTTTGAGAAATGATCAGAAATCCCTGTAAGTCTTATTGGATAAAGTAATGACAGACTACAGTAGGACTTGTTTTTCCTTTTAGTTAATTTTTTTTGACATTGCTTTGACTTCTTAGTTAATAAAACATGAATCATACTGATTCTACATTAAATACTCTCTGAATTATTTACCTTCTTGTTTACAAACTATGGCTAGGCACTTTCTTTTAAACAACTGTTAATTTCTAAGGCACCTGAAGTTTCTCTTTCAGTTTTAATCTTCAGAACTTAAAGTCAGCCTCACTGGCAAACAAAAGCTGAACATGCCTGAGTGGGGCAGGAGACGCCTTCTTACTCATGCCTGTTTTAAAGGCTAACTGGTGTTTTCTTTGAAACCACAGCTTATACAATTAGTTACTGTGGAAAGTTGAATCAGAGTTGGAGAGAGTAGAAGAGTTTTTTTTGGAAAAGAGAAAAACCATGAAGAATATGGAACTAGCCCCCTGTCCTCTGGGGATTGTTTAGGAGTCTGCATTTGTCCTTTATTCTCAAAGCCCACCTGGAGACACTAACTCCTTCCTGGTCTTATCCAGAGTTCTCCAAGCTTCCTGTATTTCCGCTTTCCCACTCCAAAACACTAGCCTTGCTTGGTCCCACCACCTCCATGACATGCAAACAAAATGAGGGAGTGTCTTCTGGAAAATTCTGCCCTGGCTTCTTGTCATAAAAGTGCTGGAGGAAAGTGCACAAAGGCTTGGTTGTAGTACACCACAAAAGACAGCAGACTGTAGTTTCCGCTTGACTCTTACAGTGGAGTGAATTTTTCAGAATACAAAGTCCAGGCCAAGCTTTCTGGGAACGGAGGAAAGGGAATCGGGAGGGGGTGAAATTTTTGGCTTTGTAAGTAGTCCAGGTCCTAAACAGCATGCTTGGGATCCGACTCTCAGCTCTGCCACCTTCCTCTTGGTTTTGCCCTCAGCCAGCGGGCTGCCAACAGCCCCAGGGACTACATTCTTCACATGGCTCTGTTTTGGTGTGGATATGAAGTGTCCCCCAAAAGCTTATATGAGAGATAATGCACGAATTTTCAGAGTTGAAATGACTGGGTAGTGAGAGCCTTCACCTAATTGGTACATTGATCCACTGATATGGGTTAATTGAGTGGTAACTGTAGGCAGGCAGGGTGTGGAGTTAGCTCACCAGGGTGTGCCTTTGGAGGGCTATGTTTTGTCCCTGGTGAGGGGACTTTCTCTCTCTGTTTCCTGGTTTTCATTTACTGAGCTTCTTTCCTCCTCCACACCCTTCAGCAATGATGTGCCGCCTCACCTTGGGTCCAGAGCTATGGAGTCGGCCATCTAGGGACTGGTAACCTCTAAAACTGTGATCCAAAATAAACTTTTCCTTCTCTAATTGTTCTTGTTGGATCTTTTGGTTACAGTGGTGGAAAAGGGGACAAAAGCAGGCTCTGAGTGTCCACAATAGTCCAACCAAATTCCTGGATCCACTCTAATCAGACCCATTTGGAACCTGATTCTCTTCTCTAAATCAGTAACTACACTCAGGAGAATGGGACCGTGTGGATTCCTTTAGTCCTGAGGTGAAGGCCCTACTTTCTACCCTAAACTGCAGAGTCAAACTGGCCTCTGGGACTCTCAGGGAAGAGACAGTTTCTCCAGTGAAGATCAGAGCAGAAGAGACAAATACTTAGTGCCTCCAAATGATTCATGCCCAGTAAATAAAATCTATTCAAGGGAAAACCACAACCTCAGATTAACCCTCCCACAGGTAATCCCTCCTTGGGGCCAGGATGGAGGCATGTGTGCCCAGGGGCCTGAGTGGGTGGGGTGCTAGACCCAGGGGCCATGGAGAAGCTTTCCTGAGGAGCAATGGCTGACCTGCATGAGCTGGATGGACAGAAGGAAGTAGCCAGCTGCAGAAAGGAGGAAGGGCATTCCCAACAGAGGGCCAGCAGGGCACTTCCATAGCAGGGCACATCCAGCAAAGTGCCTGGAGAGCTGTGTGGCTACAGTGAAGGCAGGAGTCGGGGGCTGGGGGGATGATAAGCAGGTGGCCAGAGGCCAAATCATTAGGAGCATGGTCTGCCATGGGATATAAGAATCTTTTCTAGTTTTCTCCTGTGAAGCTGAGACCTAGACCAGTGTGTGGCATGTGGTGGGCAAATACATTCTTGTATGAATGAATGGGTTCCTTGATAAGTTAGTTCAATTATAACCTTAGTGTAATGAGTGGTCACTGATGGATCCTACACATGGTACTGTCATGTATAGTCTGTTATGTGGCTCAAATGAGAGAACATATGTGGAGGTGTTTGGTAAAGTAGAAATTGCCAGAGACCGTGCAAAAGCAATGCAGGTGTCACCTGTGCTTGTCAGAAGGCCACAAGCTGTCTTGCAGAATCCATCCAGTCCACATGATCTTTCATCACTGCAGATTGTCCGATGTTTCTCAGAACCATGCTTCTTTATTCCCCAAATATTTACTGAGTGCCGTCCCTGGGCCAGACCCTGTTCTGAACCCTGTTCTCATTTGGGCTGTTTTAATCCTGCAGCTTCAACTCTTAGTGGATGTACATATAGAGTGGATTTCCTCTTCTCTCGCTCCATGTTGCAGTCCCTTTTCTTTCTCCCTGTGTGTTTTTTAAAAGTTTATTTATTTATTCTAATTTGTTATACATGACAGCAGAACACATTTCAATTCATAGTACTCATATAGAGCACAATTTTTCATATCTCTGGTTGCTCACAAAGTAGAGTCATACCATTCGTGTCTTCATACATGAACTTAGGGTAATGATGTCCATCTCATTTCGCCATCTTTCCTACCCCCATGCCCACGGCCTTCCCCTCCCTCCCCTTTGCTTTATCTAAAATTTCTCCATTTCTCCCACGTTTGTCCCCCATCTCCATTATGGATCAGCATCCACATATCAGAGAAAAACCTTCGGCCTTTGATGTTTTGGAATTGGTTACTTTGCTTAGCATAATATTCTCCAACTCCATCCATTTACCTGCAAATGCCATGATTTTATTCTCTTTTAATGCTGGATAATATTCCATTATGTATGTATACCACAGTTTCTTTATCCATTCATCTACTGAAGGGCATCCAGGTTGGTTCCACAATTTACTTTTGTGAATTGTGCTGCTATAAACATTGATGTGGCTTCATGGGATATATAAAGAACTCAAAAGACTTAACACCAAAAACAAACAAACAAACAAACAAACAAATAACCCAATCAGTAAATGGGCCAAGGAACTGAACAGACACTTCTTAGAAGATGATATACAATCAATCAACAAATGTATGAAAAAGTGTTCAACATCTTTAGCAATTAGAGAAACATAAATCAAAACTATTCTTAAGATTTCATCTCACTCCAGTCAGAATGGCAGCTATTAAGAATACAAAGAGCAATAAGTGTTGGTGAGGATTCGGGGGGAAAAGGCATACTCATACATTACTGATGGGACTGCAATTGGTGCAGCCAATAAAGAAAGTAATATGGAGATTCCTTGGAAAACTTGGAACAGAACCACCATTTGACCCAGGGATCCCCAAAGGACTTAAAACAGCACACTATAGTGACACAGCCACATTTCCCTGTGTTTTTGTCACTGGTGGAAGCAATGATGCCTGTGTGTGTTAAGGGAAAGTAGAATGGGCAATGATGCCCCCCACCTTCTTAAACTTCCTTCAAGTTAAACCTGCCCTCAATCAAATAAGCTGTTTAAGAATGAACCACACACAGAATCTGTAGGTCAGCGCTGCTGGTTCTCAGCTTTCCACAGCTGAGCCCCATGCTCCAAAGTTGCATTCATGGTACTTCTTGTAGTTTCCCTCCCCAAATTTGCATATGTATGGTCCCTCTGCCCTGTTTACCTGCTGTCACCCACTTCTTCCTTGGGCAATCCCAGTGTGGACTCCATGGAGCTTCTGCAGACTCAGGTTTCCAGGTTGCTGAGTTAGGATAGATGACTTATTCTGTTTGATGTTTACTGGGGAAACTTCATAAATGAGAAGGATAAAACCTTCCTGGAAGCTACTTGAAAAGTTCCAGCAAAGTCTATTGGTTGTGACCATGTGGG